GGCGGGCGGTTAGGCTGAAATGCAACCAGTCCAGTGAAATCCACCGGCAAACCGTGCTGCAACACCTGAACGCGGAAACCCCCAACACCTCTCCAACCTCAATATTTTATCTTGTTTATAGAGCCAGTGGAAACGGTACCCACAGAAGCAGCCTCAATAATCGCATTCTAGATCAACGAAAACATTTCTAACCTGTGCATGTCCTTCTGAGCGTTGAACTGAAACCGGCCCCTAATACTCTTGTATCGTACCAATAAATGCACCCGTCCATAATTTCGTCGCATAGAGCTGCCACGTTTTCTATATCAAAGGTTTCCGTAGTGTACGTTACAACCAATCATATAAGTAAGATGTGCATGCTTTTAAATGCATAATTTTCCAGAGAAATGAATATGCTACACATATTGTTAAACGTATTATTTTCGAGACTGATAAGCTAGTACAGATATCTACGCAGCTGACGTATGCAATAAGCATGTAAGCGTAGATGTCAGGGATTGTGCGGTCATCTTTCAGCTTTACCCACTAAAGGTTTACTAATTTGGCTTATAGTGTTTGCGAGTTCCAACAACTCAGTTTTTTTTCATCAAAAGTAAGTTTGAGTATTGAGTTCTGTTACCGTGCTCTCCATAAACAAACCTACTGCAGTTTCAGAGCATTATCCGTCAGCTTGGTTAGGACTCTTGTACTGAAGTACCGATCAATATTACGTCATGGCCTATCTAATCCTTTCTAATACAGAACCCATTTAAGAAATTCAGTCCACATTTGGTGACATGGGCCAGTCATTGTTGGTTCCTACAAAGATGGCGATTTTCAATGATCCGGTCACCATACATGTAAAATCTGGATCACTGAGAATAAGGGCAGTCATTATATTTCACAACTCCGAGACTGCTTTGACGATATGCATAGCAAACCAGACAGACTGGTAAATAATTAATTTTCCTAACTTTGTTCTGCAGCTTGCGGGTCTTCTGCCGTGGATGGATTAACTAAACATTGAAAACAGAAGGCGTGGTGGACGGTAGGGCGGGTTTTGGAAAAGAGGCAAGAGGGAAAGCAGAAAAAAACAGAAAAGAAGAAGAGGAGGAGGAGGGATGGCAGTTGCTGTTGATGCTGTTGCAGACGATGATGACGATAATGACGACGACGATGATGGTGATGATGATGATGATGATGATGATGATGATGATGATGATGTCGAGGACAAGGATTATTCCTATGCAGATGATTACTTGGGGCGCATGAGAGAGAACACTGGGCTTAACTATAATTTTGGAAGTTTGAGTAGTGTTGGATGAAAACGCGTGGGAAGAGATTGCTCAGCATCCGGATCTGCCGACCTTATCAGCTTAAACAATGCCCAACTGGTAAAGCGAACCATAGAGAGAGGGAGTTAGAGGTGAATGCAGGCGGAAATGAGTTCACATTAATTTCTCCTGGGACTGTCAGTTTCTTTCGCGTTGAGACGGAGAGACAAAGAAGGAAGACGTTAGCTGTTCCTTTGTTGGCAATTTAGTCCTTTTATAGACAGCCTGCAAATTGCCTGATAGGATTATTTCAAACTGCCGGTTTAATATCACCGAGTAATGCTACTACAGATAAATTTTTTTAATTCTAGCGGTGTTTTACATTAAGCCATCGCGTATAGTATAAATGTTAACTGAAATTCTAAAATGTGTTTCTGATCTGAAAAGATTGCCTAAGCAGGTTTTTATATTAGGTGGCGTGCGGCATAATCCCAAAAACTTTTAGTCGCGCCAGGATGCCACCATTTAAGCATACTTCTTGATGGTCGTGTGCATAAAATATTCTCCAAGGCGTGACCAACTAAGTAGCGTGAATTTCCCAATGGTTTTTTGATGTTTTTATAAGTCCAAATATAATCTAAATAAAACAGCCATAAAATATTTTTATGGTTGTTTTGCAGAATATCGCATCTTCCTTAAATTTGACACTTGAGAAAAAGGTTTCTTTTTACGAGCTTATTTAAGGCAGTGAGATGTCCATTCATGGGACCTCGTACCCTTCGGTTTACAAATGGTGCTTATGACCCACCTCCATTCGAAAACTTTACGAGCCCTTTATGCTGTCTTTTAAATAACATATAGAGATTTATGATTTTTCATGCACGAAAATGTACAGCTTACAGTTTGGAAATCCTGAGTGAAAATACAATCGTAGATTGAGTTCGACATTATTCAGGAATTCGAAAAGATCTTTAAAACCGAAAGATATCCGTTTCCCGAGTATATAATTCGGAGGAGGGATGATCTTTTACAAATTAAGAATAAAAGTATGTTTTATGCATGTGGATTACAAACTGCATTTAAACTTTAAAGGCATCGAAAGCCATCCAAGTTGTCACTTTTTACAGAGCGCGGATTTTGCAGGCGACCGGGGAGAAGTCCTTTCAAAAGCCGGCGTCCTGGCGTGACTGAAATATCTTAAAATTACTTTCTATGGTATTTCATCTTACCACCCCGCCTAAGTAGTCAAAGACTGTTTCATAATTTTTATAAAAATTTTATGAGATTGAGCATCAAAAGTTAGTTACGTCTTTACTAAAAAACCTATGTTAACCTTTTGCAACCACAAGGGTATTTGAGTCACACTTGACAACCGCCGGGCATGTTAGTAGATAACATATCACAATATACTCCTTCGGAGTTAAACTTCCAGTTCAAGTTCACACCTCACTTCTGCAGAATGGATAATGAGAATGGTGAAGAAAACTGGATTGGCTGTTTTTACCGTGTCTGTCGTCATTGGTTGGCGACTCCTGAATTCCACACCCGGGAAGGCGCGGGGCTGGGGCAGCCATTAAATCAAATATTAACTACCTTCATTCGTATCTAGGTATTAAATTCTTGTTGCTTATGTACTTTTAAAATGCGCGGTTGTTATTATTTTAAGTAAAGTTCCGGGCACTGCTTTGGTAGTCGAATTCTAGCCACCCCAGTTTGCGCCCTATCTAGAAACTCAGCGAAACAATGGGTGTTACCTCCATCCGGTGGTGCTCTGAGAACCAACATATAAATGCAGTAAGCTGTAAGCATGGCCTTTTTTAAAAGACCAAAATAAACGCTATGACTGCGAGAAAACCGCTCAGGACATTTGGGTGGTTTGGCCGCAATAATTAGCCCTAAAGCAGGTCTTGAAAGACGTACTAAGGTCTCGAAGACGTACTAACCAAGTTTCTCTAACGGTTTGAAAGTTTTTAAAATAAGATCAAATTCGGACAACTCGTATTTTATTATCACAACATCTTAATGTCTTAGTACGAATAAATGGTTACGCAGATTTTCTCTTGTGTCCCACACGTTTCGTAAAGTTGTGTCAGCTTGTTTTTATTAATTATTGCAATACAGGGACTTGATCAGCATAATGTGGAGCAGGCGTTAAGTAGTAGAAATACACCTACGGGATTTAGTCTTATTCTCGAAAAAGAAGTGTCTAAAATGAGCAGTTCTTGCTAGTAATTCCATTTTTCTTTTGAATCTTACTGCCTTGTCACCTGATGCGACTTTTTTACAAACATGTGGCCAAAATACCACAGTATCAAGTCACGGTAACATTTTTTTGCCTAACGGTAGGTTACTTATAGTAAACGTCAGATGACAAACAAACTTGAAATAGGTCTTATCCTATTCGAGTCAAATAACTCAGTTGAAAATAATAAAATCTCACTCTTTGAGTTATTTAAAGTTCACTTTAAAAAATGAAGGGCCAATGTTGTTTGCTGCTGCGAACCAATAAATTTAAAAATTGAGATAGGCTCGAAGCGATAATAACATGTGCATGTTACACTCAGCTGGGTAGAACAAATTAGAAGAAGGTTCGGTTGCCGTAAGTTTTACATTACATTAGTCAATTTATCTAAGAACTGCACACTCCGTTCTCATAGTTATTTAATGCATAATTAGTCTTTTAACTAGTTGTCAGCACGAAGAAAGCCAACAATGAACTCTTCAATAATTTTCCTACTGTTTACTTTCAAGCTGTGGACGACATTAAGAAAAAACAAGTGCCTTTGTTTATTTGTTGTAAGCATGCTCAAAATCTGAACGGCAAACTCACCCGCAGCTAGTCTCGAGCATCGATCCCTCGGGTTGAAGCGAAGCCATACCGAAGTCGGCAACACGAATATTGAGTTTGCTGTCAAGCAAAAGGTTCTCCGGTTTAAGATCGCGGTGGCTAAAAGCAATTAAATTTGACGTAATAAATTAGGCTTTATCAAAAAGTGATTTTTTCAAGAACGCTTTGGTTGGATAGCGAATAATTTTGTGCGGGCATTTTCTTGTAAAAATTAGCAAAGATGGTAAACCTATGTATCAAATGCCGTACAGAAATACAGACCTGCATGTTTTTAAAGTCAGGTGGAATGAACGCGAATTTCTGCAGAATGAAGTGATATATTACAATAATATTTTCTAAGTCTAGCATAAGGTCTTGTGGTCGTGTGGGTAAGTTTATAGCTCGAAAGTAAACGTTAATGGATTAGTAAAACGCAGTTACGTAACAAGAGGTTTTTTGGAACATGTGCTGTGGGGACCACGCTTTATGAAAACTTGAAATTTTTTATGCACGAGCAAGCTGACCCTTCCAAACGCCTATGATTATTTACGTCTGTTGAGAATGTGCATAGGTAGTACTTCCTAATAGACCCTTGTCGCACGCTTTTATTTTAAGAATACGATATATATTTTTGGCTTTCAATGAGTATTTCAGTCATAAGTTTATAAGTCATAGACAAATGGCTTCTGTGACTCATACGCTCGCGAAGTTGTCCTGAGTGCTTAGTGCGTATTTTGAATGCGGTTACCAAGCAATAAAAAATAAATTTATAACCGAAAAGTCGTTTGATGTTTGCCTAAAAACAAAACCCCTCTTGCCCCTCTCATGTTGACAGGCCTTGCATTACGATTTGGCAATCTTTATGTTGCGGTCGCTCATGTCGCACACGCTCGAATTTGTTGCCACTCAGGCTAATCGGCGTGCTGGTGTTATTTTTTACAAACAGATTAATGGATCCATTATGTAACACTTCGGTCCTCTATACGTATCGACAAAGGTCACAGAGAGTTGGGTGGCCATTTCCGACTTATTGGGGGGGACATCAGTCAGCCATAACCGACGTCAATTTTTTCGACCCCTGAAGCCCTAACTTCTGACGTGTTGCAAGAAAGTCCAACTTCCTAACCACTGAATCACAGGCCCCTTGTGCTGCCGATGGATATCGGGTATGTTAGCAATGATATAAAGGGTACTCTCCGGACGCGTTACGAAACACACTCGTCTTGTTGTGCCTTGCCCGTCGATGTCGGGTCCCGCCAACATCCTTTCTGCTGCTAGCATCATAAATAAAATAACATAACGGACAAAAAACATTACATCGGCGACTTTGCGATCGCATTTATTGATTAAGAGAGGACATGATAGTGACAATAAAGCAAGCCGTAGTCCTTTCGGTACAAGGAAACTGTTAATTTAAAAATAACTGTCAACATCATCCACTCTTTCCGGTTCAAAAATGAAACTGAACGACGTGCAAAAATTTGTCTTCTGCTATGTTCTCAGACAAATGACATGCGCATGTGCTTAACAAATTTGGCCATTCAGGCTTCAACTCAAGGCATGCAGAGGAAAAATAAAGAAAAATTTGAATAAAATAAAGCGTCGTCAAGTATTCAGTTACATTCAAATTTTTGTAAACTTTTGCGGAGCAACTTAAAAGTTAGGTCCGAACGTTCTACTGGACATTTTATTGTCTGTGTTATGAAATTCAGGCAGCCATATGTTACTTTATCGGCATCAGTGTTGTAGCCCATTTGATTTGAGCAAACCTCTTTAGCTTTTCCAAACAAAATAAAATAGTTGACACAACGCGCTTACCAAATACAATGACTGTGACAAAAGTCGATAGCAGATATGATTTGTTTGAAGAAACGCCTTGCTTCTTTGACCGAGAGCCGTCCTTTTTTAACCAGATAATCGAACAGCTCACCGCCTGATACATGTTCCAGAATTAAAAACCTACAGTTTAGTATCGCGAAAATAAAACTCACAGGTAGCGTCTATTTTCGTAAACGTCGTACAAACCAAGAACGTGCGGATGCTCAATTAGCTTCATAATTGCTATTTCTCGTTCCACCTTCAAAAATAAGGAAAAAATGTACGAGTGCCTTTTGAAGCACACTGTCGCTTAGTTTTTCCCTATTGACAATTTTCACTGCAACCCGCCTTCCGGTAATGCAATGGACTCCCATTTTTACAAGACCTTTACATGTCATTTAACTAGTGCGTCGTGAACAGATAATTACCTGTTTGGCCTTTTCCAAGAGTTTTTTCTAACCTGTATGGGCCGACGTACTGGTCTTCGCGTGTTTGGCCATGCCGGGACATTCCGATCAAGGAAACTTTCTTTGCTAGTAATCAAGCACAATATTTCGCCCCTTCTGGTAACGCCAAATTCATCACAAACAGTTACGCACAAACACAGCGCTGTAAATTATACACTTGTTTGCATTTAAAATAGCAGATTTAAACACGAACCTGTATAAATTAGTCGTAGACATTGGAGTTCAGTAATATAATATTTCAAGATGGCATACTTCCTTAAGACATATTTTTAAGTAGAAAAGTTGTCTTTTGTAATGTCTTTTCATGCGTTTAAAAGGAAAATTAACGGTCATTGTCATCGCCGTGTAGAATTCTGTCAATTACCATGAAACAAACTCTTATGTATTGCTATCAGGGAGCCCCGTCGCATGCACAAACCGCCAGTGTAACAACTATCTTCCAGACGTATAGGAGACATATCTTAAAAGTATTTCACATAGATTACCCGCCATATTTACTAGTATACTACTAGGAGATGGAATATCCTAGGTCAGTTCAGCTGAACTCGATTAATTAAGAAAAAACGCATAGGCCCATTGGTAATATGATTGCAATTCAAAGTGCGATTAAAGATTGCATTCCAATAAAGGATACCTTTTTACCGCAGGCCTTGGCTATGGAACAGCCAATGTCTGGATTTTCCAGTTCACCTTGTACCGGTGATATTTAAAACATGAACTGAGGCCCCCGTTCAAACCTTTATCGTGTGTCCATTCAACTCTTTAAATTAGATTTGAACGTCCAACGTATCCGGCTTCATTTATAAATCCTTTACGATGCGTGTTCTTTCTCGCGAGATCATGTCTTTCCATTTTCCCTGAGCTAGCTTCACCAGTAGAAGTTGTTTTACTTTTCGGTTATAGTGAGTAGATTTTTGATTGCCTGAAAGGAACAGGAACCGGTCCGTTTGTTCATTCTTCATTGGTGAGGAAAGTTAGGTCTCTTGTCGGACAATGCTTCTTTTGTTTTTAGCAGCGCAGGCCCCACAGCTCATGGTGCTGTTCAGTTGCCCTTTGTTAATAAATCTCGTTTCTTTTTATTCTCAAGGGCTTCCTTTAATGTTTTTCATGCCCGCTTACCGACTATAACGGCATTCGTCAATCCAAGGCTTAGACAACCTTTATCCTAGTTCTCGCAATTCCGTTCGCTCCACTCACAACAATCTCTGTTCACAGCATCCTTGTGGGCGTTGAGCAAACAGTTTATTCACAGCCTGTCTACGAATTCCATTATTATTTCTTTTATATCCGTGAGACAAAAAGGACGGTCATCGTTGACTACGGGCAAATCTACCACTGTATCTTTTTTCAAATAGGAAAGAAAAATAACCAGCGGACAATAAAGAATGCGGGAGAAAGTGCAACCATCTATCGATTTGCAGATTTAGGGTCGAGGCGTGTCATAGGAACGTAAACGGCGATTGTAATTAACAAATTTGCGAATTTTGATGTAAAGTATTTCAATAAGAAGAGAGGACGGGAGATTTGAGTATGAAGCAGCAATAGGACCCAGAAATTATACACTTCATTGGAAAGAATGTCAAAGGATTCTGGAATAGCGAAAGACGCAGTCCAAAAACGCGTTGGTCAGATTACTGATTAGTAAGTAAAAGAGCACTTTCCAACAACCATGCACGGACATAATCCAGGTCATCATTCAGAAACTGGAGGTTAGTCAAGTTTTTAATAAATTGGCTAAGGACCATATCACCAAGCGTGGGAGAAAAATATTTGGGAGGGGACTGTTCACTCGTGAGGAAAAAATTTTCGGCGGCATTACTGGAGACGGAGCTGCATGGTGGGACAAGCTACAATTCGAAAACTTTCAGTTCCTTACCGAAAGAGATCGTTCATTCCAACTATCCTTTCGGGAGAAAGATAATTACATCCACCTAAAGTGGTAAACTCTAACTAACTGGCATTTAATGCTATTAATATTATTATAATTAATATTACTAATAGACCTCTTTCAAAAGAAGAAATCGCCTTTGGCGGCGTTACAAACTAACCGGCTCCCTATAACATTTATGGGAACATAAGCAGCAACGCAGCACTTGTAAAAGTGAGGCTTCCAGACTATGAAGGAAATTCGAATTGTACGTAAGCCAAAGTTTGTTGGAACACCCGAAAATTCTACATGGTCGTATATGAAGTGCTGAAAGAGTTCAGGAACTCCTCCCTGCCATAAGGTCAGCAGATGGAAGACTGGAGACTGCGTCAAAGCGTCCCTACTTTCTAACTTCTTTCAGTCCGCCTTCACCGGATAACCCACCTCTACATCTGCCTCTCCACCCTTTTATAAACCAGTGCCTCCTTCTACTCCCCTGTGCCCTCCCTACCATTCTGAATCGAGGAGCCACGCTTTTCGTCAGATTTAGTTAGGGCCGAACTACTCCGGCTGAAACTTGTCAAATCACCTGGCACGGATCCTGTCCATAAAGGAGATTTACGCCTTGACTGCGAAAATTATTATTCCGGCAGTCTCATTTGCATCGCGTGTAAAACGATGATGCACATTATCCAAAGACATCTGATGGAATATCTGGAAAATGACAAAAATTGTGTTTTAATGACTAACACGGTTTTTGTGTTCTATACTCGTATGAGAAATGGACAAGAACTACAGACAAGGGTTATCCAGTGGATATCGTACTTTTTGACTTCAATAATGCCTTCGACTTTGCCGGTACAAACCAACTACGCGGTCTTCCTTACTGAATCAGTAGCTAACGCACGCGGTTAGACCGCAGGAAGCTATTCTTCCTCCAACAGGATGTCTGCAGATAGAACTCAGTACCAAGTGAGATGGTGATGGCTGTCATAAGTCGCATGTTTAAAAAAACTTGCTCACGTAAACATTGAAAAAAACGGACTCTTACAACATGACTTCTCGCAGCCAGCCTTCTAAAACGCCTTGCCATATTCAATGTTTCCGTACTAGTTCACAGTGAACATATGCACTTCCCTATTATTACGGTTCTGTTGTGATAGGAGCACATTCTGAATGTCTGTAACCTTATTTTAAGTGCAAATATGCGAAATAATTTTGAGTAAATACGGTCAGTAAGGATTTTGCCTCTAACCCTTCAAATACAAGTACAAAGCTGATACAAAATTAAGGGGACAAAATGCAGCCTTGTAGGATTTCACAGCCATTTGGAAGAACAATAGATTTTTGCCGGTCAGACTGGACAAAAGTAAGGAGATAAAGAAATAATCTCTACGCCAAGAAGCCATCCGTCTAGAAGGACCGCACTCAGATATCTGCCATAGAGGAGATGGAGGAAAGCTGCTCTTCCGCACGAGATGAACCGAGGGTTTGGATGTCGGATGCACCTCCTGAGCGCACCATTAGTTACGAGCGCACCGGGATGCCAAAGTCGACCGCATCACTGAGATTTTCACAAAAGGGTCTCAGTGCTTGGATACCGAGCGACATGAAGTGAATATTGCAATGCAACAAGGCTGCAAAAAACATCATGGGAGTGCCCTATGCAATCAAAAACCGTTCGTAATCTTTGACCAAGACCTTTTTTGGGAAAGTTTACGGCACCTTCGTTCGGCCCCACTTAGAATATGGCATAGAGTCGCGCCGGCCATGACTATTCAGGGAACAAACAGGCCTCAAAACCGTACAGCGCCGTGACACAAAGCTGTCAAACGGACTAAAAAGCCAATCCCACACAGAGAGACTGAATCGCCTTAATTTATTGCCTCTGTGTAACAGGCAGCAAAGAGGTGATCTTATTCTCATCTAAAAGATAATGCATGGCTTTGAGCATGGACTGAACTTTGAGGACATGTTTCAGTTGCACCTTTCATCCCATCTTTGTGGTCAAACGATGAGACTACGGACAAAATTGTCCAGGCAGAAGCTTTGTTTTGAATTTTTCACACGGGGGGTAGCGGAGCAATGGAACGGTCTCCCTCAGTCAGTCGAGGATGCGACGCCTCTGAAACTCTTCAAGAAACGCTTGAGTAATTATTTGTGTCCCCTGTTTTCCCTCGACAGTCAGAACCTGAGCTACATTGTCTGCGACCCCAGGAGTGTTTTTTTTTTCTCTGGAACAATGCTACTCAAGCGAATCAAGTTCTGTCTTGCTAGCAAGTTTTTTTATTGTCCGTGTGCAGTTGTACCCAATGGGCTGACATGTAATCAACAGTGCTTTCAACGGCCTTGCTTATTATCCTTAACAAATAACCAAGTAAACTGTTTAAACTGGAAAATCATCGAAGTCGACGCTGTAAGACGGCCACCCTGCTTCTCATGGAATATTGGCGATCATACCATAGCCAGTAAGATGCCACTATGAGAGATCTATTCACTGATCGTCGCCAGTGTCTACTTACTTCCCAATGGCCTGCTCCGCTGACGTGAAGAGTAAGTTCCACAAAAAATTACTTGTCCTCCTGGCGGCAATGTTGAACGCAGACGAGTTGATTGATCATCTTTATCATCGCCTGTGCTCCGAAAGTGCAAATTCTGACACCGCTCAGGCATCTTCTATGAAGACACGAGTGGCCACCTTGAGAGCCTGCCAAAGATAGACAAATTGATTGTTCTCATTGATTTCGGCGACAGCATCGGTACGCTAACCGTGAGAGAATGCTTGGTGGTTACGGGTTCAGTGGTTGCGACAGGAATGGCTTCTACTCGCACATGCTTACGCAGACTGCCATCTCATCTGCACCAAAACGCAATTATCTACACCAATCGGAAGAGTCAACTTGGATTTATCCTCATTAACGGGGCCAACAACTAACTAACTACGTCCTAATCAGGAGACATGAGTAGATTCATGTACAAGGAATCAAATCAATGCGCGTTTCGGTAAATGGACAAAACATTGCCCTGTCGACTAGAAGGTGAGACTATGTCTTCCACCCCAAAAACGTCCACAGGACAAGCAAACATCAGTTAAGTTAAATATTGCGTTATTATATACGGCTGCATGCCAATTGGAACTGTAGAAATTGCAAGGATCTGAAACCGAGACAAACGTA